TAGCATTCCAAGCCAAATCACAGCGGGGATTCTCATATTATACCTATATGTGGAATCGAAGAAGAATCGTCAGGGTCACTAGCGAAAACAGTAATCACTAATACATCGTTGATTGGTTTGCAATGACATGCATCAACTATCTCCGCGAGCCTGACCACCCGATCCCGTTCGTCGCCTCTTATGACAAGCATATTCACCTTTAACGGCAGGCATGGTTGCTGAAGACCTATTCTACCCCGGATCTTCACGGGTAGGATGCACAACGCTGGCTGTCTATGTATTACACTGGATGTCTATGTTCAAGCAACCAGTGTTAGTAAAATCTGGAAAGGATTTATATAATCACAGCATGAAATGACATCTTTCGAACATATCGTATTTGTTGATCATAAATGTAACAGGTCTCACTTCTTCACACATGCTACTCTGCGGTGATTTTAATGCCCGCACAGGCAGGGAAAATAATCCCATTTCTGAGAACAGTGATGACTTTGGACATGATGATTTATACATTGATGTAGACAATGCCGCTGTTGAACAGCGTGTATCTCACGATTACACTATCAATAGATTCGGGCGCATTTTATTGAATCTATGCTTTGTTCTTCGTATGTTTATACTAAATGGGAGAGTTAATGGTGATAGAGCAGGCGAGTTTACGTTTGTAGGAGATACTGGTTCTAGTGTTGTTGATTATCTTATTGCATCTGTTGATTTTTTTTCAGTATGTAGATATGTTAAATGTTGGTGATCGATCAGATTCAGACCATTTCCCTCTTGAGTTATCCTGCAGGTTTCCTTGTAGCAATCGTGCCATACATAGTTTAGACTGTGAGGATTATGTCTCTATGAATAGTACACTTTCATGGAACGAATCGAAAGAAAGTAGTTTTATCACAGCACTTAGAGGGTCCTTGCATATTCATGAAAATTCCTTGATGGTAAAAATTGTAGCTAATGCAGAGGAGGGGATTACATATTTGGTACAGTATGTTCTGGACTCGGCGTCCTGGATGAAGAAACTAAATATGGTGAAAATAAACACGATAAGCCAAAGTTGAATATGGCTTGTAGGGCAGCAAGATCTGAATCCAGGAAGGCTCTCAGAAGGTATAGGCGTTGCCGCAGTAAATGCAACACAAAACGCTACTGTAAACTGAGAAATGTGTATAAAATCTTTTGTAGGAAGTTCAAATATGATCTTAAATTGTCATGGCTAGTCCAAATAAACAGCACTTTACACAGTCCGATTTTTTTTGGGAAAACTATACATTCTCTTCAGAGAAATTTTATCCCAAGAGGAACTGTATCCCCAACAGAAAGGTTACATCATTTCAAGAAGTTATTCTCAAAGGAAGATTCTATATATATGGTAGACAATGAGTGCTTTGATGGCGTCAGTGAAAATTTTAGTGATGTTGATATGCTTCTGTTGGAATCGCCTATCACGGAGACGGAAATATTTAATGCTTTATCTCGCTTTAAAACTGGTAAATATGATGGGGTTGATTGTGTTATAGCTGAAATGTTTAAAGTACTCATTAGCTGATATTATGCCTTATCTGGTTAAAAGTTTCACTCAAATTTTGGATACAGGTGTTTTTCCTTCTGTCTGGCCAAAATCTATCCTTATCCCGTTATTAAAGAATGGTAATGTAAACAATCCTGACAATTACCGGGTTATATCTCTCACGAGTATTTTTGGTAAAGCATTTACTTCTATCATCAACAATAGATCAACACTGTTGTCAAATATGAGAGATTTGATCCCTGAAACACAAGCAGGATTTAAAAAGGACTGTTCGACTTTTGACCACACATATACTTCGTATGCAGTCATTGAGAAATATGTGGCCTTTTTTTATTTTAAACAGGCATTTGATTCTGTAAATAGAACTAAATTGTAGAGCTGTTTGAAAAATAAGGGTTTAGGAGGCAAAATGCTCGCCATTGTTAAATCAATGTATGCAATAATAAAATCATGTGTTCGCTGTGGTGATACTAAAAGTGACTTTTTGGATTGTCCGATAGGCTTATGTCAAGGATGTGTTTCAATTCCTTTACTTTTTTCATTTTCTATAAATGAGTGATATGTTGAGCGTCTAGCTCTTCTCTAACATATTAGAACTTTTCATGCTGCTTTTTGCAGATGACGAGATTTTGATGTCTGGTACTATTATTGGTCTAGAGAAGCAGCTTGACCTATTTTCGCAATATTCAGATAAATGGAAACTCAGTGTATAACAAATATTGTTATATTTCGTAGCGTGGACGCTTGGAGTTATTTCACTGAAAATGTATTTTAAATTATTTGATTCTCAAATACAACCTATTTTACTTTATGGGTCTGAGATATGGGGTTGTTAATAGTTCTGTACAAATGAAAAGGTTCATCTCCTCGCTTGTAAAAGGTTTTTGTCAATACCAAGTAATACAGTTTATGGAGAATGCAGGAGATTCCCATTGTACATTATATCTTACACTCGTTGCTTGAAGTATTGGTGTAAAATAATAATTATGCCTGAACACCGTTTACCTGAGAAAGCCTACAACATGCTTGTACACCTCGATAGTCTTGGAAAGAACACATGGCCTTCATGTATACGTGCATTGCTTTTAACATATGGCTTTGGTTTCATTTAGCTGTCCCAGACAATTGGTAATCCAAATGTTTTCATTAAGTACTTTCGTATGCATGCCATTGATATGTTGCATCAGAAATGGCATTCAGATATTTACGAAAGTTCAAGATATGATACTTATCGTAAGTTCAAGTCACTGCTTGAACCAGAATCTTATTTATCAAACTTACGGTGCAGGTGTTGTCGAAGATGAATTCCATTTTATGCTTATTTGCCCTTTTTACGAAAATCTAAGACGCGAAGTACTTACTGCAGTGGTCATTAACTCATCTTAATGCTAACATTGTCTTCATTACTGTCCTGCAAGGATCTTCTAACACAAAATCAACTGTCTTTGTACATACATCATGGGTTTTTTGTTACGATGTGACTTTGTATCTTATAAAATATGTTATGTAACTCCGTTGTATGTGGGCTTATGGCCTTTCATACAATGAAGAAATGAATATAACAGGTACAATGGATTGCGCCTTTTTGTTGCCCCAGTTGCTCTCTGTGTGTTCTTTGTTCTTTTGATGGCGTTCTCGATACAAGCTTTGTAATTTCACCGCTATATTTCACTTGATGGCGGTTTGGCCACAGTGGGTGTATACAAAGCATTCAAGTCGATTGCATTCACATGCAGCAATGAAAGAAGTAATTTCACGTTCTCAGCATAGCTTGTTGTGTAGTTTGTAACACTACACGTTCATTGCGTCGTTGTGGAATTTGTGTCACCAAATGTGTTGCACTACACTCTTGTAACTCACATACAGAGAGTGAGTGAGTTAAATTTTACATCGCATCGGCAATATTTCAGCCAAATAGCGATGAGAACAAGGTATTAGATGTAAAATATCTGTCGACAAAGGACAGTAAAATAGTAAGATATATCACAGTTTTATATAAAACAAACCAGATAATAATTTTTAAAAACCATATAGGTATACATAGATTAAGTCTTATCAATTAAAACATGGCTATAGACCACTAATAACCAAAGCTAGACCACCTAACTGGGGATCATGGGGACTTACAGTGCTTTTGCTTCCTGCATGATTCCATGCAGGATTTATGCCATCACTTTGGTCACGAGTGTTTGTACGAAATATTAACCAATATTAATAATCAAAAACAATCAAGGAATTAAAACACTAGTTGATATTAATTACTTCAATATAGATGGACTCATGTGCCACTGTCACGGGGACAATAATTTTACACTACGCATATACGTTTTGTATATACATGTGCGATTGTCTTTAAAACCTTCACACGTATGTAACATGAGCTACACGTGAGTTAGTGAGTGAGTATGTTTTTTTGCTGCTTTTAGCAATATTACCGGAATATCATTGAGGGGATACAATAAATTGTACCCATGTAGGGAATCGAACCCAGGTCTTCGGCATGACGAGCGAGCTTTTAGCACTAGGCTGCCCCGCCGCTCCAGTATGCTCCCAAGAGAATAGACTGTAATATTCTTAGACAAGGATTTTATAAAAAGGTACATTATATGTGATATACGACTGCTGTATGCTATTTTTCAGTGTTCATCTGTATACACTGCATAACCCATTATCATTTCACCACGAACATCTGTTCTAGTTTCTATTACCCTGTGTATGTCAACATGATTTAAATGCCGATTTCCCGTGTTTGTCAGTTGCGTTTGGTGTGTTAGTCATGCCAAGCACAGTGTTAGTCAGGAAACTTAGGCCACAATGTCCTGTAGCTCACCTGACTATTTCTGAAATGCAGTCTAGAGATATCGAAAATGTAACATTTAACCTCTTGCAGAATTTAAATGCAAAGTTAACAGAAGCAGTTACCGTGGAGTTGGCCCGATTGATTTGGCGTCTCACTGCGTTTCGTTCGTTAGCTGTGCCAGGATATGGTGGTCGTTAGGTCGAATCTTAGAATATGATCTATTGTGTGTCAACAAGGTATGAGTGAGCATCGAGTCGTCACAGCAGTTTGGCCTGTGCGACTCTCAGCCACAAGCCACATGATTAGTGCACTCATATAGCGACTTGCATGCAGGTGTGTGTGTGTGTGTGTGTGTGTGTGTGTGTGTGTGTGTGTGTGTGTGTGTGTCTGCTTGTACTAGTTGAAACGTATAAAAATTCTTTAGTTCTTGCCCAACGAGACACCATACCGCAGTTTAACATGAACAGCCCATTAACTCCGAGCCGACCAGTAGTTCTTTAAGCCCCTCAATGCCAAGCGCCAAGCAGGGTAACAATGCAACAAGTACCAACTTTTAACGTCTTTGAGTAATCGAACCCCGAACCTTCCGCCCTCTGGCCGCACGCTCCATTACTAGACAACAGAGGCGGTCGATATAGTATGTATATGGATACTGAAAGTAATAAGACGTGAGGTCATTACAGTTTAATATTTCTAATTAAAATGCAATTTAACCCATTTCATAATTATAAGAAATCTCTAGTCAATTGCCAATTGTAGGATAAACATGAACAAATAAGGAGAACATGATTGAAGTAGGATGAACATTAAGGGGTGGGGATTACACTACACAGTGAAACAGTCTGGACACATCGTAATCAGCCTGATTCCTGGTGGGGACGTCCTAATACAGTTACAATGTACTCATGATTTGTTTATCCGGTCATTTCTTAATTCGGTCGTTTTCACCTGAAAGTTTGTCTGGACAAACAGCGTCTCACTGTGTAGAGTCTGACGATGTGATCTAGCCATATAATTAGTGACACTCGATTTGATGTCTTTAGGCAAGCATGGTGCATATGGGACGATTTCGGCCATTCCGATCCCCCCTCTCCGACTAGCTAATTGGTATAAAACATATGCTGTTTTATTGCATTGACAATGCATTTCACGCTGGTCTGTATTTCTGTTTTTAATATAGCCTCGGTATCTATGTTTAAACTGGAGTCGAATTATAATCAGCTTGAACGAGAAGTTTGTTAAAGCGATGTCTGAAATCCTCCCCAAGATCCTCCATAGCCTCAGCTACTTTTGATTTCTTAAGGCCACGAACTGTTGAACTCAAGGATTGCAGGAGAAACAGTGATATCGGTAAAGAGAGAACACCAAACATCAGTCCACCGAGTCCAACCATATGATGGTTATTGGTGTAGACTGCCAGAGATTTGGCAGCGTCTTTGGATGTCTTGAAATTCAAGACTGCGGTTTCCGTAGCCTCTCCTTGTCCGCAATGCAGAAAAAGGCAGACATCGAGGATCAATGTTACTGCAATCAATATAAACTCACCATTGATACATTTCATATACTCCCCAGCATGGATCTTGCCTTGAATTGTACAATGTAATGAACGCACTTCAACTCGGAAATCATCATCGTCATCCATGCGGGTGACAAACGTAATTGCATTTACAAATTTGTCAAGTTTCGACTCCACATCATCCCAAATGGAATTATTTGAAATAATCAAGTACATTTCTAACACAAGATTGACTAGTCCACACACAACTACAGTTGTTGCACATGACTTCAAGAAGGCAGAAGTTGAAAACCAAACATCCATTAAAACACATGTCAGTGGAACAAGTATAACGAACACAATGGCGGAGACCTGCACACAGATACAGAACAGCTTGAGCAATGTAGGAAGGTAGTTGCATGTATCATACTTCTTGGCGAGTTCAGTGACATCAGTGGGTACTTTGTCTACTATCTGTATCAGGCGTTCTCGTCGAATTTCAGCTGAGGAAAGAAATAAACAACTAATTAATTACCATTTGAAAATACCATTACAAACAAGAAATTACCTTGAAAAGTTACCAATATACGGTTTAGGCTCAATATCAACATGACATGGTGTCGGTTAACCTGCCCAGACATCACGAATTTACGGCCAGTAAAGTCACCACATGCTAACTTGCTGTTAGATGAATCGAGGGAAATGTGTTTTGTCCTATGAGTGTTCGTTTCGGATTGGCTCACATACGATTAATAGTCTAAACAATAGTGCTGATTCACATCACACAAATCAAATCAATATTACGATTAACGTATGTGTCCTTCTGTTTTATTAGAAGCGGCATTTTTTTTGGTCAAAACAAGATAGTTTGTGTCCTAGTATATCTAGATAATTTCCCAATAAACTCGCAACACACGTGCATACAGAAATCGTTTTCACTAAACCTCTTCAAGAGGGCCCCTTTTCAAAAGTCAAGTAAGTCAAATTCAATAGTCAAGTCATAAGTCCTAACAGACAACCATGAACCATTTTGAAAGTATTTCAACACTTACAGTTACTACATGTACTTGAAGTGACTAATGCTATACAGCTGGAAAGGGGAAGGACAATAACTGTGACATTAACTCCACTAGTCAATTACTAGGCTCTTTTCTAAATTCAATTTATCTTGCAGGTTATCACTGATTCTATGCAAATGAACTTGCATGTTTGTTTTGACGTAAAGCAGACATTTATCATAACAGCAGGCAGTGACAATGGAAAGCACAAACCATTCATTTTCCCCAAATGTATTGCCATATTTCGGATCTCCACTGCAGTTTCAGATGGCGTGTTCTTGTGGATCTTTATGCTGTTGGAGATCATAGTGTGCAGATCCAGTGGCACAGTCAACACCGACAGCACAACTCCCCCGACCTTCATGGCTTTGGCCCCCGTCTCCATCACGTCCATCATCGTCTTCCCCACTGCCAACGTGGTCCGAGCTGCGACTGCCCCTACAACAGCTGTTGTCCTGGCAGCAGATCCGCCCGCCTCTGCTGCTGTCTTCAGCCCACTGAGGATCAGTTCCAGGGTCACCTGACTCTCACTTTCTCCCAGGCTGTCGATTTCCTGTAGTTGAAAGTATGTTGCTCTTTTTACCGACTTCTGATCAAGTTATGTTTGATATAAATAAATTCCCATTTAGCCAAGAGGTTACATTAAACTCCTTTATAATTCTTCACAGTTTGATCCCTGTATGTTCTACCTTGTCATCTCAATTCTGAAAGTATAACCTTGCTGCTCTAACAGACACGCGATTAAGTCGCTGAAGGGAGGTTAAAATACTAAGTCGATAACTAAAACGAAAGATTACAAACTGACAGAAAAACATTCAAATATTTAAAAGATTACTTCAGTGATCCTATTGCGAAGTTCATGGCTGTTATTGGAATTCACACTCTCAAGGAGGCTGGCCAAGTCTGTAACAGTTTTCTGATAGTCATCAATCTTGGCTTGAGCTTCTGTCATCGTCTTGCTGTTGATGATCTTGTCAGCAATGGTTGTCGCCAGTCCACCAAGACCACTGGACACACCAAGAGCAACGCCCGCTGCGGTCATCCCTAGGGATGCTCCAAAGGTGAATGGGGCTGCTGCTATTCCTGCGACAGTTAAGCCCGTAGCTGCGATCCCACCTGATGCGAAGGCAGTCTTGGCGATGTTCATGTCTCGTTGCTTGACATCCAGTTCATCTGCTAGGTGCTTCAGAGCGTCCATCACCTCCTGCTTCTTCCGTTCCTCGTCCTGAATGCATCGCAGTATATCAGCAACGAGCTTCTGGACGGAGGCTCTGTCCATGGTGCTGTAAGATTAGATGTTGAAAGTGACTTGACGCATGAGGGCGTATCTAGCTGAAAATTAACGATTGCGGCAGTGAACAGTCTGAGTGTGAAGATCAACTGAAATATGTTGTCAAAATAAACCTATGAAGACACAATGCCATTTAGAAAGTGGTCAAATGTAACAAATGTTATATTTGGGATAACACTTTCTGAGTAAAGTACAGATTCTCGTACTTTTTTGGGTTGAGTCCCCTCCGGGATTGAGGCATCTAATCGCCAGCACACAAAGTCAGTGATCTCACCCACCCAGCCACCGAGGCTTCCACTTGCGATTAGGTGCCTCACTCTGGCAGTGTGGGTTCGAATCCCGGACGGGACTCCACCCAAAGAAGTGCGAGAATCTGTATGTTACTCAGAAAGTGTTATCCCAAATATAACATTTGTTACAAAATAAACCTGCTTTGAATTTAGATGTTTCCAGCATAGATTCGCTAACAATGTCGGTTGGTTCATTGTCATTCTACCATGACAAAATAACAAAATATACGTAAACTCTTTGCTAATATTGGAAAGGATGATAGAATGGTCCAAATCAGAGATCAATGACGGTTGGTTTTAATCAGTTTGCTTTCATACTATCAGACAACGTTTATCATCAGAAAACTTACATCACTGCTAGAGGTGTAACGATACGGGAGGGTCGCGATACGATACGTATCGCGATACAGGGGTCGCGATACGATACGTATCACGATAGTGTTTACTGGTACAAGCTAAGCCAAGTTGATGTCTTTCTGCTCTCTAAAAGATGTGACAAGTACAGTTGAAGAAGATTTAAGGTGTTTATTTACTGTTATAGCATCTTGTCAGCAATACAGTATGTTTTACTGAAACAACAAAATTGAAACTGTTTAACGTATTTCATGTTTAAAAGTACCGTATTTTCTTGAGTATAGTGCTCACCCCCCTCTAGCGGGTTCAATATTTTGGAAAAAAAGAAATTTGAATATTATGCGCAGAAAAAAAATACACCGTACCCCTTCAGCGAAGTCCGGCAAACGAACGGGTGATGAGAAACTTCGTCAGTACAAATTCGAAATTTGAGATAAAAAATTACCAGACATGTTGATTTACCGTTTAAATTGTATTTTTTGTTCAGCTAGGCATTGTTTTATATCCAGGGATTAAGATTACCTTGTGTATTTTCTCGTAAACTTCGCCGGACACAGCAATCAGCAGTACACACGTTTTTTTTAAATCTACCGGTGATTCGGTCAAGACACACCAAATGATATAACTTAACAGGATTTTAATGCAGGGATCGGCAAAAGTTGTATCTGAAACTATTTTTTTTATCAGGAATAATATATTCCAATATCTTGTTAATTTAGATGCAGCTTTTACTAAACATATCTAAAATAATAATAACCCTAAGCGAAGCAGCTGATCGCTATTGCCGGGTATTATTTTTTACTTGGAACCAGTCTGACCAGTCACTGTCAAGGCTCCCGTGCGCGTGATCGCGAGAATTACGTGTTGACATAGAATCGTCCAACAATAACAAATATGGCTTTAAACGAATCAAAGTATGGCATTTATGATATATGTATCATTCTCTGTCAACTAGAGTTTGTTTCAAGGCGTCAATAGCGGTAACCTGACCGTGGTTGCTGTTAATAACGGTGAGTTGTGCGATCTTCCGATCGCTTCACGCACAATTTCGCCGAAATTTATTAAACAATATTAAAAGGAATTTTGAATAAAATTAATGAAATAAGTTACAAACATAAGTCCAAATATACAAAGAACACTTTCTAGCCAGACAGTGTAATTACATGAATAATTTGCGAACTTCAGTATGGATTTGTTGACATGGTATTTCCAGTGTTACGTGCTCACGGTAATGTCTTTCCGTGGGGGAAAATATATCAAAAATCATCGACACAGCTGTTTTTTGAAGAGAAAAAGTGCGCACTATACTCAAGAAAATACGTAAGTAAAACTGTGTTATAAAAAAAATATCGTATGTATCACGATACATGCTTTCAAAATCGATGCATCGTATCGTGGGCTGTGCATCAGTATACAATACTGTATCGCCGTATCGTTACACCACTAATCACTGCACTGTGAAACAATTACATGATCCTTTGGAGATACCTGTAAAAGAAATGAAACGACCGTTACAGCGTTTAGCTATAGCTTAGTTTTAGCTAAAGTTGAGTTATACACCTGGTGTCATCACTATTTTATAGTCATTCATAAACACATGATCATGACATAATCGGAATCGGACAATCGACTTAATGCATAGATAAATCGTGTCACAACTATTCTACCTATATCCACACACAGTAGGTCAGTATTCGCCGACTGAGTTGGTATATGTGTTTCATTTGATTCATAAGACTGATTGACTCCCTTTCTACACCCATGTTGTCCAGTAGATCAGACAGCAGGCAATATGGTTGCTTGAGCTTCATTGTACCCCATCGGCGTGTGACGTGGCTCGTAACATCACTGGAGTACAAAAGCTCGACTATTAACACACCGATGGATATAGCTGGCATATTACTTAGTGTGGCGTTAAACAACCTCATTTAAACGACGCAGTTGACATATGATAAATGATTAGTATTTACATCTGTCAGGATCTAGACCTTAAATATTATATTATATGAAACGTGTATGCAATTGATGGTACATGTATGTATCTATGCAAATACATAGCTTACGACCCGTGAAGTTCCGGGGTAGAATATGGGTCTTCAGCAACCCATGCTTGCCGTAAAAGGTGACTATGCTTGTCGTAAAAGGCGACTAACGGGATGGGGTGGTCAGGTTAGCCCGACTTGGTTGATGCATGTCATCGTATCCCAATTGCGTGGATCGATGCTCATGATTTCAATCACTGGACTGTCTGGTCCACACTCGATTATTTACAGACCGCCGCCATATAGCTGGAATAATGCTGAGTGCGGCGTTAAACAATAAACAAACAAAGCATAAAGTACACAATTTTGTTCAAATGACTAAACCGATTACTTTTGTAAACAATTTGAATGCAAGTGTTAGGACACATATGTTTCATAAAAGTTTGTAATGTTACCTGTCTATGTGGTACCACGTTGGTAATCAACCCTGAACTTCCAGTTTGGAGATGGCAGGACGTCCCCGGACATCTGCTGATCCCGGCAATATTGACACGTAACAGCTGCAGATTGACTGGGTGCGTCCAGGAATCGTTCAGCTAGGGGCGTATCCAGCTGTCAGTGATAGTAGCACCCTAGCAGCTCAGTTGGGGAGTCAGGCGTACAGTGCAACCCTGTTCACCGGATAAACCGAGGTCTGTTCTCACATGGTACACATTCTTCACAGAATCCGAATCATGGTGATATCCGGCGAAATGCAACCTGACTGTGGCGCGGGTGTCAGTGTGTCACACTCCAGGACTGAGGCTGTGTGGGTAGCGGGGGACACATGGTACACTACGTGTATGTCATGTAACCTACCTCATCCCCTTTGGCTGTTCATCGGTATATCAGACAGTCAGCAGAACTGATTTCTGTTTCGTGGGGATTTCCATATCCTAACACGATGGTCGAAGGGAAGGTTGTGTTTTGGCGCAGTGTTTAACGCAATTCATCTACAACATTGAAGGTTGAACCGCGAGGTGAGGTGAAATTAGGGTTTAACATCGCGTTCATGATTATTGCACTATATAGCGTGTGTGTGTGTGTGTGTGTGTGTTTGTGTGTGTGTGTGTGTCCGTGTGTGTGTGTGTCCGTGTGTCCGCGTGTTTATGGTTGTACTATGTTCGGAGATCATGGAGTCCTGCCGTAATAGGCAACTAACGGGGTCGGGTTGACAGGTTGACAGTGGATGTCTGGTCCAGACTTGATTATTTACATACCGCCGTCATTAAGCTGGAATAATGTTGAGTGCGGTATTTGACCAAAAAAAACACAAAAAAAACTAGTCCGCCCGCTATGACAACACGTCTCAGTTTTAACACGAACACCCAACTCAGACACGGTGTACTGACTACGGGCCGACCATGGCCAGTCCTTGTTTTCTCCCCTAATGCAGAGCGCCGGGCAGGGAAACACACATCTCATAACATCTTTTTGCGTGAGGCGACCGGGGAGCGAACCATCGACCTTCCGCTCTCTGGGATGACGGTCTCACGACGGACGTCATGAAGATTACAGCCTTACATTACTGTCAAGCTCTGACGTCTCTATGAGGTAACCTGGAAAAAATATATTTCAGTTTCGTTTCATTAACAGGTAAGGATTGCCTCAGGCAGGGCTAACTCAAGTATAAAGGGAAATAACGGTAGTAGCAGATCGCATTTCTAAAGATGGCATCATCCAGATATTACCACACGTTTGGTTCCTTCACATCGTATTTGTTTGCTGTTTCAATTACCTGTGATAAAAAAACAGCCTTCATTATTTAGCGTCTCCGATGAATGTTCAGATGTAGATGTAATCTGACACTGAATTCATGTTTGGTGTCGGCTCCAGGGGATGATTCAACTTTAGGATGGGATGCAACCTCACCTTGCTACGACAAACCGAGCCGCGAGGGTTAGCATTGGTCCCCAGCAACCCATTCTTGAGATAGGAGGGGACTACATGGATCAGGTAGTCATGCGCCATCACATTGGTGTTGCGTGTCATCTTACCGCGGCGACGCGGGACGTTGCTGATCATATCAATGAATGGTCCAGACTTGATTATGTACCGAACACATGCATATTGCTGAGTGCGATGTTAAACAACAAGAAAACACAGTAAAACGATGAGGTTCTAAACCTAAACGACATATTTTAAATCTCGAGAGTCCTTGTTGCCGAAACAGTGAGATGGTGATTATTGGGGTTTTTCGACAAAACGCCGGGCGTTCGCAGTTCAGGGCGATGTTCAGGTGGATGCGTCCATTGAATCGTCACGTCAATCATCATAAATAAAGACAAAGAGTTTTTTTGTTTCAAACGTCTTTATTCACAAGACACCGACGCGTATACTGTGATAGATGCAGAACCTATAACACCGTCAACTTCATAGTGTGGCGTGTTGGAACGTTGCGACCACGCCATCTACAACATCGTAGTAGCATCATGAATATCTAGCATACATGAACTAAACACGCATAGAAGCATCATGAATATCTAGCATACATGAACTAAACACGCATAGAAGCATCATGAATGTCTAGCATACACCATCAACAAAACCATAGTAGCATCATGGATTTATCATCCAAAACTGGCACCCACAGGAGATATCGCTTGGGTGAGATCAAGCGATATCTGCATTATTGATATCACTGCAAAGACTATTGTGGTGTCAAAATCAAATGACATCACTAATGGCTCTGCTACTGAAGCTGTTAGCAGTACTTTTTACACCTAAGACATTGCCTATTACTGACTACAAACTGAAAAAGTTAGAAGAATGATGTTGGATGATAAATAAATTTTAACCCTCGTGTCTTTTGATATCACTGTCTACACATACCTCTGCCAGAAATCACTGTCTACACATACATATGTCAGACATCACTGTCAACACATACCTATGTCAGACATCACTTTCTGCTTCAGCATTGATACCATCGTTTCCCCCTGAGTCAGCAGAGAGCGTATCTGGTCACTTGGCTGCGTGGATGAAGCGAACGTGTTTGACATCATCGTTTCAGATGTTTTAGAGAAAATGTCCCCGGCTTGTCTAACAATCTGCAATATGGAGGAAGATACGTTTAACAGTATTTTAGTGATGTCAGGGCAGACCAGATTATTGTGAGAATACATCCCAATTATAGTATACGGCATAATCCAAGTATCCTGGAATTCGAACCCCAAAGTATCTGACATGAAAAAGGGAAGCTACTCAGCTCTGACACATGGCAACGGGTGACCTCTTTAGGGAAGGGGGGATGGGGGGGGGGGGGGGGGGGGGGGGGGGGGCACGGGTGACCCAGTCGTCGAAGGCGCCACAATTTGCTGTGCAGAGTTGCGTCCCTTCGGCACGCCAGAAACCTATGGTTGTGGGTTCTAATCCCGGTTCGCCCCGATTATGTTTCTAGGTTTGTCAGCTCCATGCCCGTGCTCGTGGCTTTCACCGAAGTGGTAAACGTCCGAGACCTGCATCACTTCGGTCTTTCCTCCCACATTAAGCTGACACGCCACGATATAACTTGAATACTGTTAAAAGCGGCGTTAAACTCAACTCACTCACTCACTCTTTAGGGAAAGAACATCTGCTAAAACCTGGTTACAAGGTCCTTTGTCAGCCATCCGCGACAGAACCGTTGTTTTGCAACTTGCCATGAACACTTAATTGTTTGTGAGTGAATAATGATATTTTTGTCCCTTAGCTGCCAGGATCCGCGTGTTTATGACTTTCGATTCACCCTGTTAGCATCCATGGTCTATCAGCATCAATCCAGAGCTTGCTGGCTTACCCGAAGTGGTTAACATTACTGGGAATCAGCGCCGTGTGTCGTGAGTTACCGTTTTGAGCCCGTCTATCATCGGTGTCAGTGCTTGGGTGGCTCTCTGGCTCATGCTGCCGATGAAGTCGGTGAAGGCGCCACTTCCGGTCTTTTGATGATGCTGTATCACCAGCTTCTCCATCGCCATCACTGTTTCCCTGATGAAGGAGTCTGCATATTGGCTGTGAGACTCTGAACGAGAAACATATCTTATGCACCCTAACCATGAGAAATACAAGGATGTGTTCCAATAGCAAGAACAGACTGAAATGAGAAGCGGGGAACCACAATGGCTGTATGATCTGTTAGGCGTCAACAGAATATGCCCCGCAGTGTGTTATACCACCTCGAGTGCTTGGGACACTGTTTTCTAAATTAACTGCTGTTGTAACTATGGATTTAAAAGTCTTTGAAAGGCATTTAGAAGTGATACGCATAAGAAAGAGAATTTATGGATGTCAACTTCTATATTTTGAGAAACCCAACGTTTCGGAATGTGGGGTTACTCCTATCAGCGCCATTTATCTGTTGGCTTCCATTGTTAATTTCCCACCTTTTCTTATCTTATTACTTTTGTTGTTCTTACATTTACATATATATGATCTCTGGTTAATAGCATTCATTAACCTGACGAAGGAATAAGCATATACTCCGAAACGTAGTGTTCCTCATAATAAAGACGTTCACATCCATAAATTATCTTCCATGTGTGGATTTTTGTTAACCTGGTTGTGCCTTTTCCAATGAGTTGGCGTAACTGTCGACTGCTATGAACTGGAAGTGCTTTATGACATTCTGTTAGATTGTGATGGTGTAAGGGTTCTTTTCTGTGAAAGGAGAAGCCGAACAGCATAGGGCTAACTAAGTTTAATTGTGCATGTCTGCCTTTCTCCAACACCCCTCCCCCCCCCCCCCCCCCCCCCCCCACCCACCATCAGTTTTAGAGCGTTTTATGCACGCAATGCCCGCTTTAAATGTCTAAATAATACTTTGTGATTAAACATGTCTGCGCAGAGTTACATGTTTTATTGAATGGAAGATTAAGGGCGTACTTATTGTTTTCTCCAGCCTTTTCTTGACATCGTCTATGCCTGTTGCCATGGAAACAACATTCCTGATGGTCTGGTTAAGACTGTCGCCGAGAACGTTGTTGACGTAATGGAAGTCTTGTTCAGCGTTGTCCAGCATCCGGAGGATACGTGTAATAAGTTGAGTTGTCCCCTTGACATCATCACTGAAAAAGATAAGCCGGATGATATTCGCCATGTGCGCTTCAGAAACGTAATCACACACATGTACACGAGTTGAGGCGTTATGACGCATCATATGAAAATTATATCATGTATTGTTATGGTATGAATGGACGAAGGCCTGGGGTATATATATGCCTGGATATCCATGTACATCCTATCATAAACGTTACGCAAAGAGCATCTCGTATATCTACAAGGCAATGATGCCACCAGAAAACATACCATGAAAACATGTCTATCAAGTTCGTTAACTGCCATAGTCTCAGCACTGAAGCCGAAAAGGGACGATATTGGTATCCCATGTGTATTTCACCATAAGTTTTTGCATGTTTAGTTTTCAGTATGTTCGCATGTATGCAGCTATGCCGACAAAATAACCAGTGGTCAATAGTCCACTTTGTGGTTGAGGTTTCCCCTCAGGGATACGTATAATATAATGAGGGTAGGTTGGCTTTCTTGTGTCTGGTAAACATCTGACCTGCATCACGTCGGGCTTTTCTACCCTAAGCCGAAAAATGAAACTCAGCGGAAAGCGTTAAACCTAACTAACTCACCAAATCATACCATGCCGTTCAGGATGTAAAATGCCCTCCCTACCTTATATCTCTGCTTGTTTTCTGGTCCTTCTGTTTCTGTCGATCGTTCATGTAGTTTAGCACGAGAGCTGTGTGTGGTAAGAAAGATATCTTACTGATTATTATAATAATTGTAACCATTAATCAACGAAGGATCCAAAGGTAAAACATAATTTAATTCTTCGAAATGTAGTTGTAGATGCAATACGATGCATGGTCACTTGTGTAACATCACTAATCAGTTTTAAGATTTAGACGCAGTTTCAATCCCAATATCGCTGCTTGAAATTGTGGTAGGAATGATTTCATGTACAGGTGCAGCTGTATTGATTGTGATTCCATGGCATTCGATTGGTTACCAAATAACTGTTAATGCGTTTGTGTGTAGGTTTGGTTAATGCTTTTATATTTGCAATCTATGGAGTTGTAATTGTTGTTCATGTTGGGTAAATCCGCATTTTACTTTCGTGTCCCAATAAACGTATACAATATAAAATTCAAGGCTTAAATATGCATCGGTCTTATGTCGATTAACATATAAGTACACGAGGGCACGTCCAATACAACTGCTCATATAGCTGTGTTGCTATGGTGGTGCTATTGCAACTCTGTCAACGCCCTTCAGACAGTCATAGGCTGGTGATGCTATTCCTACACTATCAATGTACTGCAGCCAGTACTAGCCTGGTGTTGCAATTGATACTCTCTCAATTTGGGCAGTCCTATCCTTGTGATGTGTTTAATGCCCTGTCAATGTACACCAGACAGTCCTACCCTGATGCCGATATTACTTCTCTGTTAGTGTACATCAGACAGTCCTACCCTGATGCCAATATTGCTTCCCTGTCAATGTACATCAGACAGTCCTACCCTGATGCCCATATTGTATCACTCTTAGTGTACATCAGACAGTCCTACCCTGATGCCGATATTGCTACTATGGCAGTGTACATCAGACAGTCCTACCCTGATGCCGATATTGCTACTATGGCAGTGTACACCAGACAGTCCTACCCTGATGCCGATATTACTTCTCTGTTAGTGTACATCAGACAGTCCTACCCTGATGCCAATATTGCTTCCCTGTCAATGTACATCAGACAGTCCTACCCTGATGCCCATATTGTATCACTCTTAGTGTACATCAGACAGTCCTACCCTGATGCCGATATTGCTACTATGGCAGTGTACATCAGACAGTCCTACCCTGGAATCCCTGACTGGCCAGCATCTTGACGTCATCAACTCCTTTATGGACGACGTCCCTGACTGTCGAATTGAGCTTTTTCAGAAAATCTTCCCCAGTTGCCCGGAACACCTCTCCAAGGGTTTTGGACACATCCTTAAAGTTGACCGCCCCAGACAGACTGGGGATTACTGCAGCACCAACACAGATATAGAGCAGGAACAGCCTCATAGTCTCTGGCTGCAATAGAGATATATGTAGAACCCGAAATCAGTGTCTGGTGATGAACAAGGATGATGTCTGTCTTGGGATATGCGTTCAGTGTACAAGTATATGTGAATATCATTGTGACGCGAAGCAGCATTGACTTACTAACTTACTCACTAATACACGAGCATTGATACATACACTATACGTATATAAACTTACATCTGTTTAGAGGGTACCACTCCACATGTTTAAATTAAAAAGTAAGGGGGGAAATAGAGGTTATCACGCGAGTGTGTTTGGGGATGGTAAATATCCTGCATTAGGAATAAACATTGTATTTAGCGAGCCTTGGCGAGCCAAATACATAGTGTTTATTCCTAATAAAGGATATTTACCATCCCCAAACACACAAGCGTGATAACCTCTTTATCATATAATGTCATTCTTTAATTCTGTGCTTGAAAATAGCTCTCCCTCTCTCGCAAACATTACCGAAACATTGCGAGTTTTTTTGAATGCGCGCATTAATATTTATTACGTCACAGGGTAAGTGATGTGTCAGTCGGACTGTGACAGTAGCCAATATAGCTCTAACTAAAATCTGATTCTTATACAGTGGCGAAGCAACATATACGCAAAACAACAATTGTTTTTACTTGCATTTCGCGGCAATCCATCGGTCTGTCCGCTAGAGTAACTGCCCTTTGTCAAAGGGAAGCTACTCAAACCCTAGTCTTTGAGACGTCACGGCCACGTTCAGACTTTGTTGACAGTCGGTCTGTCCTATCATAACGTCAAGTACAGTCAGATGTACACAGAGCGACAAAACGAAACAAGGTAACAATTCAAACATATTTCGGCCAAATCCAACTATTTCAATTTGTGGAAAAGGTTTCAAGCCGCAGAGGTCGACAAGCACAGATATGGCTACTGATCCCGCTTGGCTGGGCCTAGTGCCCTCGCAAAATTGTTTCGAAATTTATATCTCCACAGTTGCCAAAAGTTATAAAATGCCTTAGCTACATCACAGTAAGACACTGATTTTCAGTATATTAGACTGTTCTTTTGATAATGATAGCAATTATCCCTTTAGTTTATCCAGATTCCCGATGGTTAATTCTGACTCGATCGCCGAATGACAAGGGCGACGCCATGTTGTTTGTAAACAGTGAAAGTAGTCCCTACTTTACCTTTGATATTTGCATCTCTATCCGCATATGACCCCAACGGATATCGTTTTTATCCGTTGGCTTTATCCTGCCGAGAAACCTACCCATTATATGATAAAACATTATATCACACTCATCACGACTGATGACGATGAAAGTATGGAAAAGCTGGTTGTGTGCTACTTTGCCCCGACGACGGAGATGGTTGCTCTCGCTATCAACTACAGATGCGCCTTAATTATTGACAAAATAACGTCATATGTTACTGCCTCGTGTGTAATTTAACATACACACACAATCATGCAATCTCCACGACAAATGACCGTTTCCTTGATCTCATGGATACAGCGTCTGGGCGATGGTTCGATTTCGGCTGCGTCATACCAAAATACATTACCAGATGGTACTTGTTGTTACCCTGCCTGCCTGGGAATGAACCACTGACTGGTTCGCTCGGCGTCAATAAACTGTATATGGGGTGTGGTATCCATGTTACAAAAGTGGTCTTGCATCAGTCTGGACAAGTACAAGCAGCCACATATACACATTCATACATTGAACCTCACCGACAAGTGGTAGTGCGGTAATAACATGAATACAGGATATAGTACTATTGTTGCTTTTTTGCCAATTCCTCGACCACTTTCTTGGAGCCATATAGTCAGTGCCACCTTCGTGAAGTTACTACGCATGTATGACCTTGACATGTATTCTACTGAGTGAAAATCTTAATTAAACTACATAATGTCTTTATCGATGACAATACGGTTCTTACCTGGTTATGTGTTAAACCAGCGTTAACGTATATCACACAACTAGCTTCACTTACCTTTCTTATCTCAGTGTCTTGTGAAGGACCAGGTGCTTATCTCGCACCGCCCTCATGATCATCGGATGTCTTTCCAGATAAAAGATATGTCGACATGTGACAGTTGAATATATATACTTCATGAGTTATGAAGCAGACGTTGCTCACACACGTAATCAATTGCATTTTTCCGTTCTTCTGACTTACGTTACCACTTTAATATTGGAAACATGGCAGGAATTAAACATATGGAGTCTTGGAGGTTCGGCCTCTCTGAAAAGGCTTGAACAGGGCTGTACAGCCTTCAAGTGACAGTGTCCATTGGGTGAAACATTTGAAGCATATCATTAACACATTTTATAAATGCTCTGTGTCTTTAGTTCGCCATAATATATTTATTACCTTGATTCAAAATAAGTAACTCCCGTTTTATTTACCAGCATGGTTTACAGTTTTTTACCCATAAGGGAAGGGTGATAATGGTCAGTTCTATCAGCTGATTGGTTGTTTCAGAAATGCTGCCGTTTGATTGGTTACTTCTTTCCTCATTGTTTGTTTAAGTTCAATCATCGTCTTTCCACAAGCAAATCGCACACACGCATGCACGCACCCACCATTAAAATTTAATATAAACATCTGCATCTGTGAGGAAAAGATCAAGGACAGAATAGGTTCAAGTGTCAGGATGTGAGTAGGTGCTTGCTTCGTCATTAAACTCACGTTGATTATTATCTGCATCAGCATGAAGATTAGTATGAATTAAAACAGGGCTGTGGATCACTCCCTGCTTCACCAAAACAAATAGATCCTCCTGAAGATTTAAAACTCGGTAAATGAACTAAAGGAAGTGTACTGAGGCATATCCGGGGCACGGTAGGCCCAGTCGTTTTAGGCCAAGGATTTGCTGTGCAGAGTTGCGTCCCTTGGACACGCGAGAAACCTATGATTGTGGGTTCGATTCCAGATTCGCCCCGATTATGTTTTTAGGTTTGTCAGCACCATACTCGTGCTCGTGGGTTTCACCGAAGTGGTAAACGTCTGAGACCTGCATCACTTGGGGCTTTCCGCCCACATTAAGCTGAAACGCCGTGATATAATAGAATACTGTTAAAAGCAGCGTTAAACCCAACTCACACACTCACTCATTGACGCGTATTAAAGTTGTCCATCTGCTTCAGATATGTCTCCTGTAGACAGATTGCTGACGGTGTTTGTCTAGCTATAAAAACTAGCTCCAGATACTTCTACATTTCCACTGAACTAATGGATCAGAAATGTTAATGTTACAGGTGGATGAACAGGAGATCTACTTCTCCCATTTCATAGCGACTTACTTTTGTAGGAATGAGAAGACCATGTCCTCCAAGGTTTGGAACCGAATATAAATATAGATAGAGTCATGCTGACCGTCTGGATTACGATCTGATTTTTTTAATAATGAACTTTTTCATATCAGGCGATGGTTTCGGTGTGGATGCCGGTGCCGGTGCTGCTGCAGCAAAGATTAGTTGTCTGCCAAAACACATGATTATTAAGACCTATTTTTTAAGGTTGGCGGTACATTGTCGTCGAGTAAGACTTTAACAAACTGGTGCTGGATTGTACACATTGGACATGGCTTCGAGGAAGCCACATGGCCTCCAGAGCAGTCTTCACATTTAGGCCGTCTGGTACATTATCCTCAGTTTCATGTTCTGCAGTTTGATGACATTTCATGCTATTGTCGCTTGGTTGTGCACCGTACCCAAACTGCTGGCATTTGAAACACCGAAGTAAGTTTTGAATGTACTTATCAACTTCTTTCCTGCTTTGATATGTCTTAAGGGAGTTGGTTTCTAAAAAGTCATTAAATACGTTTTCATTTAAAGATTGCATCTTCTCTTTTTTATGGAAGGTTGTAAGGTTGTAGATTGTGCTGTTGTTTTATATTCAACAACTAGCAATCAAAATCGAAGAAAAGCAATAAAGTGCCATGAATAAGGCAAAGAATTTAGCCTCAAATGTGTACCTTCAGCAGCGGAAACTTAAAAAAAAGTCGAGACCAACTATTTGAAAAATTATTTTGCGTGGCATGTTCCTCATAGGATGAATCATTTTATGCACTTTTGGGGAGGCTGAACCATTGTGTAAATAGTTCCCATCCCAGCTCCCCGCCCACCACGAACACATGGCAATGATGTAACAAGTGTATATTCAACTGGCCGCACCACGGATACTTCTGGGCATACGACTCAAGACAGTAATTATATTTCAGATTTGAAGATTTGTTACGTAAAAAAGCCAAATCGAAAGTCTCATAAAAACACAATAACTACTTAGGGCTCGCAATGGCCAGCCCATCCTACCAACCGTCTGGGTGAGGTGAGGGGCGAGGTGGATTATTCGGCAAAGGAACAATATTCCCGTACACGTTCTTCCATTGGTCCCAACAGGGTTGAGAAAAAGTAGTATTCTTCTACTTATCAGAAACCTGCTCTACAAAACAACACCAACAAAACTCAAAAACTTCGATTTGGTCTTGTGCAGCTGGGGGATCTGTTCCCGGTGACAGGATAACATTAACACAGTATGCCTTTTGATTGTAGTCCTCGTGTGGTCCTTCAGTATATCATCAAATCGACCAATGTTGAACGTGAAGGCAACTTCCATTTAAAACAAACGAAGATTCATGTTCAAACATCTTTAAATAATTTTCAGTCAAGTTGGTGGACACTTTTCTTTTCAACCCATCTCCATGCACAAATATATTCATGTGGCACACACTATTGCAAAATCTGTCCTAATTTGATAACCTATCATGAATTCAAATCTATCTTTACAGCTAAAACATACTGGACAAAACTAAAAACGTCATATATGGCATTGAATGTACCCTTTGTGGATAGATGTCTTTTGAGAGAGTTATCGTGTTGAGCCAGCAAAGATCAGGCATGGATTAACAGAAATGTTTCATGAGAGAAACATATCACCCATTTAATAGCCCTGAATGTCCTGAAAATATAATTAAATATAATTGAATATAATTGAATTCGACTGTTGTGTCCAGCAATGCCATATGGATATTATGACAAAATAAAAAAACATTGGCAGTCAAAATGTTCCGAATGGTCAAAAGCAATACTTTTTCCATTGCATTAAAAGGGTGATGAGGATAATATTGATACCTGTCGGGGAATATCTTTACTGAGTTGTTTGGGAAAATTATATCCCATGATTCTTAATGGCAGGTTAATGTTCGGTCAGATGCAATGGGAGACATTTATGAAGAACATGCAGGATTTAGAGCTGGATATTCCACAATCGACAATGTTTTCATTTTACAAGCTTTAATTACAAATTGGCTCTCTAAAAGGGGAGGTAAATTTTATGCATGTTTTGTCGATTTCGCTAAGGCATTTGATTCCGTTATAAAAAACAAAAAACTCTAGCACTGCAATATTTTCTAGTAATGTAATACTAGTATTTGAGGTAAACATGAGTATGCAAAACAAACTGATATTTGGATAAGATGTTAAATTCTTTGGAATATGCTTGTTTCTTAATTGAAGATAGATTTTACACACGAGCATAAAATGATCCTCTGGTAATTGGAAATCGGCTTCTTCCTTGAAAGCCTCCCAAGATATTTTGTAATGATTTGCTGCGAGACGACAAACTCACTATGCCAAATATTTCTGACTCTCTCTAAGAGTGTTGTTTCAAATCAAGGACATTAAGTATTAGAATGTATACTATTTATACACGGAAATTGCATCCGCAAATATTACATTTGTTATAGGAAATCTATTCTTCCTCTTCGCACTTTTTTCGCAGTACTTTATACACTGCATTTTTACCCTTATGTTTTGCAATCATGGCTGCTGTCTTACCACGACGGTTTTTTGCGTTAATGTCAAGAGTATTCTCTCTCAGAACATGTTGGACAATCTCCATACTTCCTATTTTACTGGCCAGATGAAGGACGTTGTTTCCTTTTTTATTCACTTGTGATAGATCAGCTCCTTTTTGCACAAGTAAGTCAAACACTGCTCTTTGTTCCCTCTGTGTGGCCAACATCAGCGGCGTCCTCCCATCTTGTCCTTGACTGTTGATATCCACTGTGACCATAGACAGGATATGCTGCACCATGCCAAGGTGTCCTCCCATGCAAGCCACATGTAGGATGTTTTTCCCCGTGTGACTAAGTAGTGAAGCATCAGCGTTCTTTCCCTTAAGGAACGCAAATACGTCCCGGTGTCCATTAAATGCTGCACACATAAGTGGAGTTATCCCATATTTCTCTCTACAGTTGATGTCAAAAGCGCCCTCTGAGAGGACACATTCCACCATGTCCACATGTCCTCCAAGACATGCCACATGGAGTATGTTTTTTCCTCGCTTATCGGTGTGAGATATGTCACTACTATTCTCGACAAGGAGGTCAAACACATCTTTATGTCCGTGCTCAGCTGCAACCATCATTGCTGTCCTTCCATATCTGTCACTACTGTTGATATCAATTCTGGTTTTGGAGATGACCTCATTCACAATTCCAGTGTGTCCTCCGCGGCAGGCACAGTGAAGGATGTTTTGTTCATCATTATCACTTAAAAACAAGTCAGCGTTTTCACTCGTAAGGTAGTTAAATACCTCAAGATTCCCTTGCAAAGCTGCCCACATCAGCGGAGTTCTCCCGTCTTTCCTTGGTCTATTGATGTTAGGAGCTGAGGACATCGTGAGAATACTCTTCACTATGTCTACGTGTCCCCCAACACAAGCCATGGTAAGCATGTTGTCTCCGTCACTGTCCAAAAGTAACAAATCAGCTCCCACAGACACAAGGAATTGAAAGACCTCACTGTGGCCATTCTGTGCGGCCCACATAACTGGTGTCACTCCATATGACTCTTGGGCATTGACATCTATTGAATTATTACTCATCAGTTCTTTCACGCGGTCCAGATCTCCAATTTGGCAGGCCCTATGGAATGTGGTATCAGCAATTCTTGTCCTCGTTTTTCCTGGTGGGATACAAAAGTAGTAAACCAGATTTTTATACACATTTATAGATAAAAGGGTTATTCAGAAATTGTTACTGCTGCAACAATACTGACATGTTTTCATTTTGAACTTTTTCGGCGGAGGAAACGTTAGATATTTCCACAGTTGTAGAATGATATATATATATATATATATGAGAGAGAGAGAGAGAGAGAGAGAGCGAGAGAGAGAGAGAGAGAGAGCATATTTGGTAATTCGCGAGATCACTCTCAATCTACGCTCTTTTACATGAACTACAATTCAGTCTTCACGATTATAATTTTTTATTTGTCTAATTGATTATAATGTATTATTGCTTGTTTAGTTAATGCCATGACCATTGATATTGGTATCTTCCGACAGGACATGTCCAAGTAAAATTCTTTGGCGTTCTGATTTTTCAACATAAAATACCCCAGCAATGTGGGCCATTATTTGCATTGCTTGTATTTTTGCCAATATGACAGGAAGTAGCCATTACCCTTAATGTCGGTGAATTCTACGCTTACCTGTGATTAATCCATCACTTTCCACATCTGAAAAAGAGACATGTTTAATCCTGTCATGAACGAAGTCTAATAAGTGTCTACGCCCTCTCATACCTGTTCTACAATAATAACTGCACATTAAATGGATAACACCATATTCGTCATACAAAGGATAAGTGCGAGTGAATTAAGGTTTATGGTCACATCGGCAATATTTCTGCCATATCGTGACTAAATCAAGGTATATATTAATATATTATTAATTAAGTTATTAGTAATATATCAACCAAAGGTAGGTCACGATACTAGGGAGCATGGGGACTTACGGTACTTCTGATACCTACATAGTACCCCAGCAGGATTTACCCCATCCCTGTGGCTTCTGGTGGTTGTTGGAAACGTAAGCAAATAATCAAAGGCTAAGAACAGCTATAAGATTTTCCAAAGGTATTTAATCATGTCCTGCAAGTTCAAAACTAAGAAAGCATGCATATGCTCATGAATATGGGAAGTGAACATTAAATAGCTTTAGTGCAGTAGTGAACGCTTGAGAAAGGCGAGTTGTCAGTGAAAGGAAGAATCACGTGAGAGTGAACGAGTCTAATCTAATCCAGAATATCACGGCAGGGGACACCAGAAATGGTGTCCAACATTGTACCCATGTGAGAAATCGAACCCGAGTCTTCGGCGTGACAAAGCTACCCCACCGCCCATAAATCACACGAGAAGAAGAATTCAGCACAGCTGCGTTCACATGCGAGAAAAATACCACATTCGTTCTGTTTCGGAGTAAAACTAGGGCTGAACATAGCCTGATAAATCCGTGAATGAGTGAGTGAACTATGTGTTCATGCAGTGTTGAAGAATATATCAGCTTTATACGAAACGCGTGTCAGGTTGATGCGAGTTGAAGCAAGAGCGATGCAGGTTTGAGTTGACCACAGCGTTAATGGAGGATCATTACCATAAATTGTGGCGCTGTAGTTTTTTCCAAAACTATATCAGGCACGTGCGCCAGTATGTAAACACTACCTATAGTATGCTAAATCATATTCGTTCCATTGATTGCTTTGCTGTTGGTTTCTATTAATCTAAATCATGTTGCCAAGTGCGGGTTTCAGTTCCATCTCTCGTGGCATTACAACTAGGGTCATATCGACTGCAGCGTCCATGCATAACTCAGATTAACAGTTCAGAGGGGGCCACCATCTTACTTTCAAAGGCCTTTGCTGTTTTTCGTTTCCGATCTTGAATCCTTTTTTATAATTCGTTTTCGACGAAGTAAAACATGTCCTGTATTCAGAAGCATGATTAACGAAGTGATAGTTGGTTATAGGCTTTAAGAATCTGGATCATTTGAACTTTTATGTCGTACAATGGCACAACAGCAAACTTGTCTGAAGGATGGCTCTGTAGCCCCCAGTAGTGGCATACAAAACAACCGAAGCTACCGGTCTGAGAATTATATTCTTACCTGCAATTAGGTCTTGTCTTCTGGCACCTGAGAACAAAGGAACATGTGAAATGTTGCCCAGATACACAGTGAAAGCCTATTCAGCATTATCTACTTTTTATGAGTGAGTGAGTATGGTTTTAGCAATATTCCAGCAATATCACGGCGGGGGACACCAAAAATAGGCATCACACATTGTACCCATTTTGGGAATCGGCGTGACGAGCGCCACCGATTATTAATGAAAACTTTAAATGTAAATCGGTTGTGTCGATTCACACATTTGGACCTGCCGACTTATCTAAATAAAAGCAATAAAACCCTTTTCATATTCAGGAGACATTGCTGCTAAAAGCTCAGTCGATTGAATTATTACGACTATGTCAAAGGCATGTGTTTTTGAATCTCCATCACATAGTGATGGTACCAGGTGTTCGTTAAAAGGTAAGCGTATCATGCAGAGTCAAGTCAATTATTCAAATTTTCATTGATGCGTCAAATTGTAAATAACCATATGTCTGTGATAAAACGTTTTGAAAGGTTTCCTGTGGCCGTGAAAGTGGTAATCCTGAACAAACAATTTCTTTGAGCAAGGGTCGTTTGAAATCGTCCCAGAAACAGCATACTTGATTGTACGTCAAACGTTGTGAAATGTGAACACCTAAGGCTAGAACTGCTAGACTATTGTTTGCCATAAAGGGTAAGTCTCGATTGCCTCTATTGATAAAATAGAGACGACTATATTCCACAGAAATTACTTCAGTTTTCAGACTGAAGATGTACGTGATTGAATGAACTGTTGACGATGTCCGTGTGTTGTTTGTAACCATAAAAGTTGAAAAACAACCTCAAGGGGTATGCTTTGTATTCCTAGCTTGAGAATATATCAATGTTTCAATATCTTTTAAGTTTTTTTATATTTTGTAGTTTAACTGGTGTCCAAGAAATCACATTGTGGGTTGTAGATTTGTGAATTAATTAAAAGTAGTGCGTCTCAAGTTGCATGTGTTATTGAACAAATCACATAACTGGAATGTGATAATTACCCATTAATTGTGCCCAGCACTCCCATTTGAGTAATAATATCTCTTCCCTTACGTATCATACGTGAGAACAAACATTCAGAGTATGCAACACTTACATTTTTGGTGTAGACTGAAATGGAAAGAAACTAAAAATGAAACAATTTCACATGTATAAGAAATTATTAAGTGATGGAATGTTGATTATCATTCATAACATATAGGCTAATATTTGTCACGTCCATCTTTTGTATCTTTTGTATTAAAGACGACAGCTGTTATGTTCAATGAATACATGAAAACTCTTATCACAACGTTACAAATTCGTAAGTATCAAGTAACTTTCAGTTGATTGTTTAGAGCATAGATAACATAGGGAAAAGTAGATGTCACGATGCAGCTGTACTGACGTATATGTTGCATATAGGCGTGAGTTCAGTGACATTGATTAGATTCCCGTGCACACAACTACACATTATCCAAAACTATGGCGTTGGTGGGGAGTGTTTTAAACAGGCATTTTATCTGAAATAGACATGTAGAATATTGGCTACTTTGTGAACCTTACTAGTTGTGTGTACTTCATTTTGTCACTTGAACAGTTATTGTGGTTTGTCCTGGTGAGCCATACTAGACATGTAGAGACAAAGGAGACAACTGCACACTGCAGTTGTACTGCTATATATATATTGTCACTACTGCACAGTTTGCACATGTTTAGTGGCATCGATTAAATAGACGTGCACACAGGCCAACACTATGTGATGACTAGGAAATATGCTGTATATGTAAGGTATTAGGCCAGGTGACAGTTATAGATACGACTTACATATGAGATGAGCTGCATGCTTACCAAACATATCCAATCACTACACTGATTAGAATCACGAGGGTTATCACCACCATTACAGTGATCAACACTGGTGTAGGATTCTTCCATGGGTCTGTTGTGCTCTCCGTGACCTTTGGTTCGTTTTCTTCCTCTGAAACTGTATACAGACCACTTGTTTTTCATCATAGAAAATATCACTCATTCTGGTGATTATCTCTAGATGGAAAGGAGTATTTGTTATATTTTACAATGATAAAGAATATAGTGATATGTGTCTTTCGCATCATCTGTATTACACGTCCCTGTTATCCTAGTAAACACAGAGATGACCATGAATAGTAATGCACTTTCTCGATACACTGATGAACTCGAGGGTCCCAGGTCAAAGACCTTCCCACACATTGTAAGGTAGAGATGTACATTTCAGTAAATGACAACAATGTTTTACGCACACGACAAGCTCCAGTCATTTAGGAGATGAACCCCACTGTAGAGTAGATACCTCTGTTTTAATTTGGAACAGAGTGATTTACATCAAATTTCAGAACACAGTAAGTTTATCTCCATTCTGCCATGACAACAACAACGATTGGTAAACGTGGTCTCTTGCAACGCGTAGTATCACAGGGTACAAAGTTCCCCAATCTTAGAACATTCTGAAAGGTGGTAACAGGTAGTAATATATGTAACAAATATTACTCAAGTTCAAGATTAAAAACACCATAGTGCGTGAGTAGTTCAAAATAAGTGTTCAAAACACATTGCTTTTCAAAAAGAAGTTAATAGATAATCCTCCAAAGATTTTTTTAAATTTCTACTGACCTGTTGTGCACTGTATGGACTCACCAAGTCATTTCTTTGAAATCAGCGAGAGAACTCATTTATTGAAATTGACAATGCCATTTTCATAGTAGGGGTGAGAGGTTGTAGAAATAGTTTTTAAAATGCTACACAAATATATTCGCTACAACAAACTTCATGAATTACAATTCTACTATTCATTTTGCATGTGTAAGTCTTATTAGTTATTTAGCAATAACCCGAAGGAAATAATAAATTGTTGCTCACACTTCAAAACTGTCAATATGGCTGCCAATGTTTACATTTTCCGTGCCTCAGCAGACAGGTTATGAAGAAAGATGGCGACCCCGATAAATCATGTGGTTCAACATTAACCTGTAGATGCACTGGGAATGAGCCTGCTGGTACAATGTGATTATCAATAGAACAGCCGCTTTTTAGGCTGCAGACAAGACGCTTTTTGCCGACAAGCCGGCTACTTTGACACGAGGAATATGCATGATTTGACCTGTCAATTTGAAGTTTTCAGGGATTCAACGCAAGAGTGAAAGAAAATTATTGTCACAGTTGAGGCACAGAAACAGTGGCTCATGAGGGATTTTCTTAATTGTGCCTGTTCTGAAATGAAACTCATCAAGTTTGAAAAGTTGCTATGATCAAGTGTGCTTTGAATTCGGTGATGTCGGGGACATTGTTTTTCGCCTTTGGAAGGGAGCTAGATAATCTAGGAGTGCTTTCTGACTGGCGTTTAAATACTCTCTTGCCAAATCCTTACGGTGGTGGTAGACGTAAATGGTGATGAATTTCGATCACAAACCTGTTTGTAAACAACATGTAGGTCTGATTGACAGGTTCGTTATGTGAATGTGTACAACGTGTAAACTGTGATCATCTACATTACATTTTGTAAAACATACCTTCACAAAATGTTCCCTTTTTGCCAGCAATGCATCCCAATGTACACACTCCATCTTGGTGATTGCAGGTGTTGTTGATACAGTTCTTGCTGCATTCTTTTCTGCATTTAGCATCATACCAGCCTGGAATGCATCCTTCAGAACAACTTCCACTGGTCCTGTCACAGTGAATAATGCCCAGATCAGGTGATTTCCTACAGTGATCAGAGCAGTTTTTGTCACAAGCATCTCCATATTTGCCCCATGGACAGTTTTGGTCACCTCTGACTTCCAGTTCTGCAAAAAGTATGAACAAATACATAGCCAATGCCACATTCTCACTGACTTCATTTTCAAATACATAGTTCAAATTCCGAATTCCGTTTTTTTTAATCCAAGAGGGGGCCCAGTGGTCTATGGCGCCGCGATTCGCTGTGCAGAGTTGCGTCCCTTCGGCACGCCAGAAACCTCTGATAGTTGGTTCGAATCCCGGTTCGCCCGGATTATGTTTCTAGGTTTGTCAGCACCATACCCGTGTTCGTTGGTTTCACCGAAGTGGTAAACGTCTGAGACCTGCATCACTTCGGGCTTTCCTCCCACATTAAGCTGACACGCTGTGATATAACTGGAATACTGTTAAAAGCGGCGTTAAACCCAACTCACTCACTTAAAATCCAAGAATAGGTGTAATGTACTTAAAAACAAACAAAAAACATAACAAAATTGTCTCAGTAATGTATAAGATATTGTGAATGGATATACTCACCCAATATGATTAGTAGCAAGCTTAACATCAATATTCCTGAATATATAGAATGCTCCTCCATCTTTCGCCTGCAACCATACATGGAACGGGTATGCTGAACAAATACAAATGATTTAAAAAACAAAACTGACATGTAAACTAACATTGATAACAAGCGAAATTAGATAGAAATTGAAGTAAACACGTAATATTCGGTTGGGGCTCGGAAGGGAATCATACAAGTTTAGGGATACTTTGAACATTACCATTCACGTTTGTGATTTTCATTTAAAAAGTGGATTGTATTTAGTGGATAGCAGTTCTTTTAGAAGTAGCCTGTAAAACAATCTCTTCTTGAGTGGGTTTCATGTAACATACACGAACCTGGCATGTGTATATATTTTTCGGTTTCATTTGAAAACTACAGGTAACCCAGCTCTTAATTGTATATGTTCTTTCCCCTAAGTGTTACATACATTGTAGATCCAAAGAGCTAATTTCTAGGATTATTGTTTTTTGGTATACATTCTCGTATCAACAGTTATATAATCATAATCAACTGCTAAATATTGGAGAAGGTGTCCATGTACCTTCATATTTGTTTGCCTGTTTGTTGTTTATCCCCGAACGCAGCAATATTCCAGCTACATGACGGCGGTCTGTAAATAATCGAGTCTAGACCAGACCACCCAGTGACGGATATCATGAGCATCGATCCACGTAATTTGGATAACATGCACCAACCAAGTCAGAAACCAAGCCTGACCACCCGATCCCGTTAGTCGCCTTGTTAATCAACGACAAGCATGGGTTGCTGAAGACCCGTGAAGATCCGGGGAAGAATAGGTCTTCAGCAACCAATGCTTGTCTCTCCCGTGAAGATCCGGGGTAGAATAGGTCTTTAGCAACCCATGCTTGCCGTCAAGGGTGACTGTGCCGGTCGTAAGAGGCGACTCACGGGATCGGGTGGTCAGGCTCGCTGACTTGGTTGATGTACATAATTCGAAATGTTATAAGAAGGTCAAAGCATATTTAGTGAAAACGCAAATTGAAACAATAACAATAACATAACTAAACTTTGTTGTGGGCGTTTGATTTTTCACCGCATCATAAACAGTATGTTAATATTTAAAACACTCTGAACACAGAGCATCTGATTAAAACTATGGATGATAGATAAAACCTATTAGGTGGAATCCAGTGATTGACATCTTAAACATCGATCGATGCAATTGGGATACAACGGTGTGCCTCAACCAAGTCAGCGGGCTTGACCGCACTAGTCGCCTTTTACTACAAGCATGGGTTGCTGAAGACCTATTCTACCCCGGATCTTCATGGGTCAAACATGGGTTGCCAAAGACCTATTCTACCCCGGATCTTCACGGGAGAGACAAGCATGGGTTGCTGAAGACCTATTCTACCCCGGATCTTCACGGGTCGCCATCGGTGGGACAGGATGCGCACTACACGTTCTATCATCACTATTTGATAGCGAGTCATAAAAACATGCTTATGACATATTCTGAATCATATATTGATTCTGCTTTTAGAAGAGATTCCAACGATTATGCAAACGGTTTTGTTGCTTTTACTCATCTCGGAAAGTGTATTTTGTAAAAATGTTAATAATCGTTTACACATCAAGAGATGTTAAATATGTTTCATATATACACCATTTTGTCCAGATTATCTTACGTTATATTCAGACTAAAACCTATGTCAGGTAGTGTGGGTTACCAGACATGCACTAAGTTGGTTAAGAGCTTTCAGGAAGGTCATTTTGGCCTTCAAAAGATTGTACGTGATTCTGTTCTAACCTAGTTGTATGATAGAGGTTATGGCCATATGATCACCCAACGTTTACAGTTTAAATAAATGTCGATATCAGTATCTGTAAGAAACGAACAGTAACAATTTTAATTAATGCATAACAGCATGCTATGGGAAATATAACTCGAGAATCCGAAATCAGCGAAACAGAGAATGTATAACAGTGACTTGTACATCAACTTTAGCAGAAACGTGACTATTGTGGCGCGATAGAATCGTATGATAATCGTCATGAGCCGTATTGTTTGATAATATAATTTTGGGCAAACAAAGTCAAAACCGATGGACGCCACTTAAACGATATTGTATGTGGACACTGAAGCAGTCGTATAATATAATACTGATGTCGTAACGTATGTGTCGTCCATAAAGAGAACTACGCTGTTCTTTTGTTTGTCGTTATGTATGTCATACGTTCTTGGCCATTGAAGATTACTTTTCGTACAACAAGTAAACAGATAGTGCATTTTAATAAGATCGTGATTTGTCATTAGCATTTATGACATTTTATAGAGACTTTCTATTGTAATAACGTTCAGCAAAACTTAATATTTCGAAACTACTGTATACAGCTTTGGACAAAACCATAGTGTTTTTTTCTAGAAACAGACTATTTGATACTCACGTAATGGACAATCCACCCTTACAGCCGTCCCATACTGCAATCAGGTCGATGTTTGTCTGTACAGTTCCAACTAAATGCATTTGTGTCAACGATAGCCTGTGCACGAGTGGTATGACATGTAACACAGTGATGCTGTCAAAGGAAAGAGTCAATTGTACGTACACCACTATAACCTTGCTGCGCTGACAGCCACTGTATTGCAACTGGATTTTCTGGTTTCAAACATATGCACAGTCATAGTTACCGTAGCGTGACTGGCTGGTAAAATTACATATCGTGAAATGTACGGTATGTAGATACAAATAAGCCAGTACACAATATCGTGTCATGTCTTGCTCACCCGAAAAGTTTACAATCTAAAATAGGATAACCATTGGACAAGTTGCTGTCAGCATTCATACCCACACACCAAGACTGAGCCAATAAAATAACAGAATGAAGTCATCAAAAGAAGGAACATGAATGCCATCGTTTCTCAGTCCGACAGTTTCACACTTTTAATGCAGAGGTCAAGTCAATGTCAAGATTAACAGATTATTGCAAACAGCAGAACCTGTCTGGAGACTTCCACTGATCGGTACATATAACATTGCAATTACAATCTGAACAAAGTTATAAAGATTCGGTCATATATAACGAATTCAGGGGCCATGGTTGAAAACATATCAAGGTTTTGCTCCATTGGTCTCATGGGTTTAAGGGGAGAAGGTCAAATCAAGGTCAGGATTAATATTATTCAGAAAGACGGGGGCTGTGTTGAGTCTGACTACGAACTACTAAACACATACCAAATTTGTCTACTTATAAAAGAAAGAATGCTAAATAGCCAAGAACAGATGCTAAATATAACTGCCAACAAATTGGGTAAGAACAAGTGAGTGAAGTTCCAGCCAGCCTCAACTGAGGTTTCAGAGACGATGTGGAAAAACAGGCGACGACATAAACTCACTTGACTTCCATTTGTCTATTTTGTTTTGTAACAGTAGGCTGTTCTGAAATCCATTTATTTCATCTTAAACCATGCAGCGTTAAAGATGTTTATGCTTCAAGGCGTTTATGGTGAGCTTCCATAATTGTAACATTGTAAGGCATAGGTGAGGTAAAATGGGGTTAAATAGCGTCACGTTCAAGTTTATTGCACTTATATGACGACGTGCTTGCGTGCGTGCATGCGTGCAAGGCTGCTTGTATTAATTGGGACTAATGCCAGTTCTATAGTGCTAGCCCACTTAGATACCATGCCTCTTTTTATTATTCTGACTTCGTGCCGACCTTGTTTCATTCTCTGAAACCAGGCACTAAACAGGGTAACACTACCATCTTTTATCTGATTTTAGTATGACTCGACCGATATTCCGCTCTTCGAGCAGATGCTCTATCCACTTGACCATGGGGGTTGTCTCATTAAGCACATTCAACAGGAAAAAGGTCAAACTAACACTACAGATGCAGTGGTTTTATTAATACAATAAGGAGCATATATTACAAATATACAATAAGAAACCCATTGTGTTGTTTACATTCAGTGTAGTAATAGATAAATATATAATGAAATATGTACTGGGACGTGCAAAAAGATTGTGGAGGATTCGAAACGCCGACGAAACCTCAAGGATAATTTATCAAAGCAGGAGGCGATAAAGAAAGTTAATGGGTTTCGTTCTGGGTGATGTCGACATTAAACAGTTTAATGAATCCTTCCCTGACATCTACTCAATGGGGACCCCAAAGCACCGACATTAAGTTCACAAGAAAGATACACGGATTGTGGGTACTTTCTTATGATGAGGATCAAGAGGATAAGGTCATAGTTTTACCATAAATGTAGAAGGACCACTTGAACATGGCATACACTATTGAAATATGTATATTTTAACACAATATAAGAGATAAGTATACTTTCTATATGCTAGTATGTATATATAAACATTCATAATTTCATATTTCTCAAAACAGTATACATGTATGGTAAATGTTACCAGGAAAGAGGTTACCATACATGGCAACAAGTAAAGGACAATGAAAAATACTAATCGGCAGTATATAAAACATAAAAAAACATTCCTTAGTCCCCTCAAAAGAGCAAACTGGTTAAAACACCAATATTTAAATTGCCTCCTGCACCAAGCCAAGCCAAGAATCCTGAGCATGTGTTGATGAATCACGGTAAAATGGTGATGGTACTAGGTGTTGTAACTAGGCATGCGTGGTTGTGAACTGTAGAGATCAAAGACAGGAGCCGCTGTGATATTGTTCGACAAAGAGTATTGGTATGTTTGTTGTTTAACGCCGCACTCAGCAATATTCCAGCTATATGACGGCGGTTTGTAAATAATCGAGTCTGGACCAGACAATCCAGTGATTAATATCATGAGCACCGATCCACGAAATTGGGACCGATGACATGTATCAACCAAGTCAGCGAGCCTGACCACCCGATCCCGTCAATCGCCTTTTGCGACAAGCATAGTCGCCTTTTACGGCAAGCATGGGTTGTTCAAGACCTATTCTACCCCGGAATCTTCACGGGTCGTTCGACAAAGAGAGAAAGTTGACTATTGGAGAGTGGAAATCATCCCTCTTTTCACTCTGAATCTACATGAATACATCTAAATAGTAAATAGATGAAGCCGTCTCTCATTTCCATTTCCATATATAAGAAAAATAGACAAAAACCACATCAAAACAATCAGCACAATTTGATGGACAGATATATCATTATATATACATAATATCCATATATACATAGGCTTCACGTGTAGCACACACAAATATAGCAAACTAAACCATCACAGGATCGGCAACTGTCCCACAACAAAGTCAAGTATTATTGCATACATTTCCAAAATCAAATCTATGAAACAATCGTTTTACTTTTTCAACCAAATATGCATGAAAACCAGTGAACTTGACCTTCAAAAATATGTCCCTTGTCACGACAAGCAGTCTTCAGTTCGTGTTTGAGAAAAACAATTGCAGGGGCGAATTTGAGAGTTCGAATTTGTGCAGTCACATTTGGCACAAGCACCCTACTGGTTCTCATTCTTACATTTGTGAAAGTGCTTCTTTTAGAATGCGTTATAATGGTGTGTGTTCCCATATTAATATATTTTGAAAACAAAATATTACAAAATATTACGTAATGTCCTCACTTGATGCAAATCCAATGATCAACCAGACTTTCCCTACTTCCAGTGTCTGGGAGAATGATCTAAAACAGATATATGAGGAGGTCCCCTTCAACCTCCACAAGTGGGAGGGATAGGGGTTGCCCTCGGTATTATAGTTTACTCCACATCCTTTTCCCCGGATGGTGTTATATATTTGATATCGGTTGTTTTATCATCGACACCGATGTCCCTCACTAGGTGAGTGTACGACGGGTTGTCTCCAGAAGTATCATCGGAGGAAATGTCACCGTGCGCCCCTCTACCGTATGACTCCTGAAGCTGTTTTGCCAAAACACCAGATGACTCATTTTCAGGGTAGTCACATTCTTGGTCCACATCTGATTCTCTTATTTCCCAATATCTGTTTGATGGAGGCTGGTACTCGACTATATAGTTGTTTGCTTCAGCGTCCCTGTGTATAAATTGAGAAGGTTAATGTAAATAACTGTGAAATACATAGCAAAAAGAAGACATGAACACTCAATAGCTTGGAAGACCTTTTCCATCGAGCTGAATGATACAACTTTGGTTACGCCCACGGACACGTGTATGATGTTGACAGACAATGATCATACTTTGGTCTATCCTGGGATTTGTATCCACCATATCTTGGGAGACTCACTAAGTAAGTACATCCTTGATCATTTCGGAAATACTCCTCCCTTAAAAGATTGTAGTTTTGTCTAACTGTCTTTCGATATGTAAATAGTTTATTGTCGCTTGTGTTCTGATGTTTATGCAGAGAAACATAAAATAACTCAAAATACGAGGAAAAAACAGTGGCGCAATGGAGGACTCACCTTCTTTTCGACCAGCGTTTTCCAAGACAAAATACACAGAGGATGCCAGTAAGAACAAGCAATGTTGACAGTCCTATTACGATATACTTGATATCCATCTGCGCCTGCTTGACTGCTGAATAACAACACATCAATAGTCAGGGAAACATGTGACAATAGGTCTGAGTATGTTGACAATGTGATTAACAGTTGAAAACATGCTGTTTTTGCTTCATTCCCACTGATTGGATGCTTTTATGAAACTGGAGGAGATCCACAACGACTATTAAAAAATTGAAAAGTGCAAGAATGTAGGTGATGGACGAAGCTACCCAAGCACACACGTTCAAACGCGAACAATGATTTACCCCATGCACGTGCAATACATGACAAGTAACAGTCAATGGTTAATTCCAGAGGCGATTGAACTGCACTCTGACTTTTTCAATAATGGTTAAATATGTCACATGATGTTAAAGGATGTTGCAGAGACGTCGTCGTATTTTGAGATGGATGGGATTGTTAACTGAATTGTGAATACAAATACACATTGGTCAATAAATACAACTTCAATGATATTTCTTTCCCCACATCCATCTTCAAACAACATCCTGGGTCCCGAAAAGACGTTCAGCATGGACAATGGATAAAGACACAAAGTCATGGTATATATGATTATTTGATCTATCTATAAATTCATATTTCAAGAACCTACCTTCACAAGACACATCAGTAAGGCAAACATCTAAGGGACAATCATGTGTACAGGTCGATTTGCATCGAAGGTCAGTAAAATTACATCCTCGAATGCAGGTTCCTAATTCCCAATCACATATGCCGTCAAGACAGATCTCACAGGTGTTGTTACAAAAGGCACCATAATAACCGTTGATGCATCCTTTCACACAGTGTCCGAAGTTGGGGTGACAAATATCTTGAATACAGTTCTCATAGCATGAGCAGTCAGTCCCAGCATACCCTGGTGCACAACCATCTACACACGCTCCTGACTCAGTGCAGGACAGATTTGCACAATTCGAGCTACAGCGACATGAGCAGTTAGTACCATACCACCCGACATTACAACCGTGGATACAATCTCCTGTGTTGTTGTCGCACTCCCGGATACAGTTGTTGGGCGTATTTCTGTCACATTCCAAGACAGAAACTGAATCTCTGTCGGGACCAGAGCGGCAGTTTTCACTGCACACCTCATCACACCAATGTCCATAGAAGCCAGGTTTACAGCCTCCTTCACATCCAGACTCACAAGATCCTGCACAGTTCTCACATGACTTCTCACAGTTCAGACCTCTGTATGGACGAGGACAACGGACACATATTCCTGTAGACCTGTTACATGATTTACATCTCTCAGAGCAGTGCTTACAGTCAAGGCCATAGTAGGAGTCAACACATCCAGAAACACACAACGTAGGACTCAGCATGCAGTACCCGCCATCACATCCACCTTCACACTCCGTACACTGTATCCCAGGGTTGCCACATGGTATCTTGCAGCTTGTACCCATGAATCCTGGAACACATCCCTCCGTGCAAGTCTCGATGCCTACCGCTGTGAGGTTACACGACTTATGTGTGCATCTGCTGCTGCACTCTGACCTGCATTTCTTCCCAAAGTATCCACGTTCACACTGTGTTGAGCAGTCTCCGTCATCGTCACATTCTCGGCAGTGCTGACCATTACGGCATGGCGTGGCTGAAAACATAGAATCAGGATGAAATTCCATATGAAATCAATAAGGGGACATAACTGTGACATGGTCAAGTTGAGGATGTCAAGTAATATAATTGTTTGATATGCACATTGCCATATACCTACACTTCAAATGCTTTTTGTTTAACCATAAGTTCACCAAGACGAATATTGCCGGGAACTCCTGGTGACTAGAGAAACAGTTCGACTTATCCGGGAGTTCGAAACATTCGACCCGACCCAACTAAGGTCCGGACTAGCCGTCAGATATCAGAAAGCATGTACGTACATACCTCTCGTTCCTTTCCTTTTCCTCAATCATGTTTCTACTCACGCCGACAAGCGGCGCAATTAAATGTCATAGTTAGAACAACATATTAATAAACATTATCCTGAACCGTCTCTCACATTTCGCTAATCCGTAGGCAAGTTCGAGACAACCGGAGGGTTAAAAGAGTTATAACCATGGTGCGAGTTTGCCGGAAACGGACAGTGATTTTGACAAATTTCACAAAGGATCATAAATAGGCTTTCTTACATCGACCCTGAGACGCCCATGTCCAAGGCCATGACACCCAAGGAACAAAGAGTATCCACAGTCCAATAAGCCCTTCTATTACTTGCCCGTGAAGAGATCACCCGTTTAATAAACATACAGCTGTATTACACATCGTGTAATACCAAAACGCGTGCTTATGTACTCTCGGAACACGTTTCACGAACAAATATTGAAAGCTCTCAACATCCCTTGGCTTATTCAACAACATTGCGTATGGAGTTGATAGATCACTGAGAGGAGCTTATGCACACCCGATGACCCAAGCAACCTTGTTGCTAGGCCAACGTCACATGGCATTGTTTCGCCAATGGATCTTGCAACAAAATTCCACAATTTACGTCATCGGGTATTGTGTCGTGATTGTAAACTTTAAGGTGCAAGGCCCGTTCCACAAGGCGATCGTATTGTAGCGCAACGACAGAAGTTAGTCTAAGTTAAAGTATGTGAGTTGCGATAATTTTGTGGAACGGACGCCTGAATTCTAAAGGTTGACCGTTGTATGGTATTAAATTCATACGTTCTAACTTTTGAAGTGTTTGAAGTAGTATTATGTTAAACTCAGTTGGACTCATTTGACTCAATCGGCCGTGGATCGTGTAGGTGTCGGCCTATTCATACTCAACAGTATAATTCTAAAAACGTTATAAATGGCAAGTAATAAATAAAATACTAAACTCGCTCCCGTGTTAAACCAATTTTATGAAACTCGTGAATAGTTGTGGTATCTAACTCGCTTTCGCTCGTCAGATACCACAACTTTTAACTCGTTTCATAAAATTGGTATTACACGGGAGCTCGTTTAGTATTCTATATATCTGTGTTGGATAAAATGTCTTCAGAAGAGATATTGTATTAGTCACATACTGGTCCTATGTGGCGGAGATCGTGACTAAACACTGTATATTTAACAAACTTACCTCGTATGGTTAGTACAATGAACGCCAAACACAGAATCGACAAAGAAGTCTTGAAGTGTCTGAAAATGGCAAGTGAGTGAGTGAGTTAAGATTTAACGTCACTTCGGCAGTATTGCAGCCTAATCGTGACGAGAAAATGGAAAGGAATATATACCTTATGAATCATCATAACATACCGATCATGATACTGAATAAGTGTGTGCATTAAACCTACTTACTGAGAGCGGAGCATTTCCAATGTTGGTGTATGACAGATGTAGCCGCGGTTTCAGGGTTATATTGTCGGTTGACTGTAACTGCTGACTGTCGGCGGACTTTATTCTTCCGTTAAGAGGGGGAAGTATCATTTGTGTTATTATGTTTCGATTTGCTATATATATACTCTGCAAAAAAAGAAACGCAAATGTAGTGTTGCCGATATCCAGACAAACTTTATACCAAAATTTACTGGTCATTTCTGCATGGATTGAGATTGATTTGTGAAAATCGCAAAAACACAAACACGTCAGAGCATGGCGCTGAAACACACCAACATGACATGCAGGTGCAACATCACTTGTTTGGATATAAAAAAGTTGGGTTTTCATTTGCTTCCGATCACAATCTTACAGCGAGTGAACAGCGAAAACATGCCACGACTGACGGAAGCCCAACGCAACAACGTCATCGGCCGACTGCATGGAAGCGAATCATCTTCGGCTGTAGCAATGATTTTCCACGAACCACCAAGCACCATTACAAGACTGTGGAACCGTTATCAGACACCCGTACTCGTGGGTTGTCAACACCGTACCCGTACTCGTGGGTTGTCACGTCATCCCCGTACTCGTGGGTTGTCAACATCATCCCCGTACTCGTGGGTTGTCAACATCATCCCCGTGCTCGTGGGTTGTCAACATCATCCCCGTACTCTTTGGTTGTCAACATCATCTCCGTACTCGTGGGTTGTCAACATCATCCCCGTACTCTTTGGTTGTCAACATCATCTCCGTACTCGTGGGTTGTCAACATCATCTCCGTATTCGTGGGTTGTCAACATCTTCTCCGTACTCGTGGGTTGTCAACATCATCCCCGTACTCGTGGGTTGTCAACATCATCCCCGTGCTCGTGGGTTGTCAACATTATCCCCGTGCTCGTGGGTTGTCAACATTATCCCCGTGCTCGTGGGTTATCAACATTATCCCCGTGCTCGTGGGTTGTCAACATTATCCCCGTGCTCGTGGGTTGTCAACATTATCCCCGTGCTCGTGGGTTGTCAACATTATCCCGTAATCGTGGGTTGTCAACATCATCCCCGTACTCGTGGGTTGTCAACATTATCCCCGTGCTCGTGGGTTGTCAACATTATCCCCGTGCTCGTGGGTTATCAACATTATCCCTGTACTCGTGGGTTGTCAACATTATCCCCGTACTAGTGGGTTGTCAACATTATCCCCGTACTCGTGGGTTGTCTACACCAAACCCGTACAATATTGGTACACAATATTTACATTCTGTTACATCTATGTGACCTCTATCTAGTTCATACTCTGCGATGAGCGAGTTCCTCACTGCGACATTATCTATGGTTCATCAGGTGTAATTTGACAGATGTGATTTACTATAGACAAAAAATTAAACAGTTGAAACAGTTTTTCCCAAACGATACTTAGAAAATGGTTTGTGAGATCAGTCATTTCAAATTTGAGATGCGTAGTAGGAAATATTATATATTAGTCATCCAACGCACATTGGCTTATGGCAAAATTCAATGTAATAAGGAAATAGGTCATATGGTCAACTTTACAACTCGCCGGTTGTCAACACTAAGCAGATGCCAGAGACTCAACATACTACACAAATCATTCTTTAACTTTCTTGATTAGCTTTTGTTTATTCATGCTCCAGTATATTTTATTTTCCGATGTTGCATTTTCCATGCATTATACACGTATTATCCATGTATTATCTAGGCATTATACACGTATTACCCATGTACTACCTAGGCACTATACACGTATTACCCATGTACTATCTAGGAATTATACACGTATTATCCATGTATTATCTAGGCATTATACGCGTATTACCCATGTACTATCTAGGCATTATACACGTATTACCCATGTACTATCAAGGCATTATACACGTATTACCCATGTACTATCTAGGCATTATACACGTATTACCCATGTACTATCTAGGCATTATACACGTATTACCCATGTACTATCTAGGAATTGTACACGTATTACCCATGTATTATCTAGGCATTATACATGTATTACCCATGTATTATCTAGGCATTATCTATGTAATACCTATGGCTTATCAGACGTATTATTACCAATACTTTTTACTTGAGAAATCAAACTGAAATGCAATTGTGACATTTTCCAAAAAGAACACCGCTCCAGTATATTATATTTCCCGATTACCAGGAAGATGGCACATCGCTAAAATATATTTAATCATCCACATGAAACGGACATGTTTTCACGTATCGCGCATTTCACAAGGCCTCAACGCCGCCAAAACTTTAAAACAATGCACAGTTACATGATTTTGCATCCGTTTTCATGTTTAATTTCCTTGTTAAATACTACTGACAGACTGACAGATGGGACTGTGGGTTGTGATCCTTGCAAAAAACAGTTACATTCAACGTTCCGTGAATGAACTATGGAATTGAAAAGGGATACGTGCTTGGCAATACTACTGCATGGTCTCGTGGACAAACAATGACAACAACAATGTCTTCACTAGATTCCTAGTTGCTGCAGCAACATAACTAGGTGTTCTGTTTTCAAACCATTTGTCTGTATTCAAATGACACATATGTTCACAATGAAGTGGTGCTAGTCTCCTTCTATGACATGATACAACATGTATACAGGGTTCCCCATTCCACAGCATAGTTTCTGACACCTCACACGGCGAGGCATTCCTGTTTATTTCATGGTTCGCCATCCTGAGATCATTGTGTGAAAGTGAGTCTGGTGGTTTAACCTCAGTATAATGGTTGCCCTAGGCAACTACTGAAGGGTCACCCATGTGTATGCAAGTTGAAAATAAATAAACCAAGATCACATGATAATAAAAACAACATGAGAACATGGACACACGATACAGAAGCGGGTAGACACTGACCAAAGAATGCGGTCAAATGTAACAAATATATAGTTAGGATAACACTTTCTTGTGTAGATCACGTACTTTGTGTACCCCTCTGACATTATAGATTGGCACGGATCCCATGGCCGAAAGCTACGTGATCTAGACTACCAGTTGTCGGACTTCCAAATCCGAGATGGGACTTTAACCAAATAAATGATAAACAACTGTACTTTACTAAGAAAGTGTTATCACAATCATAACTGTCACTGACCAAAGTGTCTTGTATGTAAGACGTGTGTGTCGTAACACTGGTCCCTGGACACATTAGCGTCAGAGTGAGCACAACCAAGTGTCAGATGTCTAGGGGCAGGTCGTGGCATGGACACATTTTGTCGAACCTCATAAACAATAGCAGGGGACAGGGTGCACCTGTAACGGTCAGTCGATTTCTGTGTCAATTTGAAACTCGTGCCGGAGCTATTTGATCGGAACGCTCCAAACGGCCGAAAGTCAAACTCAGGAAGCAGCACGTTATGATCACTGGAACTGTTACACATGCTCAACGACCAGGAGCATGTGGAGGTGGTAGTAGTAGAAGTAGTGTCGGCGGTAGAAGTAGTAATGCTGTCTTCACTCTTGCTTCAACGGTATACAGATTTATCTCAGTGGTGGTGGTGGAAGTGGTAGTGTTAGTTGTTGTAGCAGAAGTAGAAGAGGAAGTAGTAGTAGAAGCAGTAATAGTAGCACTAGTGAAGATAGCATAAGTAGTTGTAGAAGTAGTAGTAGGAGTAGTTGTAGTACCAGTAGTAGAAGTAGTGGTAGTAGTAAAAGTGGTGGTGCTGGTGGTAGTACTTATTGTGGTAGTAGTAGTGGTAGTAGTAGTAGTGGTGGTGGTAGTGGTGGCGGTGGCAGAAGTAGAAGTGGTGGTAATAGAGATAGTTGTAGTAGTAGTTTAAGTACCAGTAGTAGAAGTACCAGTAGTAATAGTGGTGGTGGTAGTAGTAGTAGTGGTGGTAGTAGTAGTAGTGGTGTGGTGGTAGTAGTAGTGGTGTGGTGGTAGTAGTAGTAGTGGTAGTGGTAGTGGTAGAAATGATGGTGGGCGTGTGTGCCTGCGTGTGTGTGGCTGCTTGTACTAGTCCGGACTGATGCCGATTTATAGTGCTCGCCTAGTGAGAAACCATGCCACGGAGGCGGTCTAGTAGTAGTGGTAATAGTAGTGGTAGTATTAGTGGTAGTACTTGTGTTGGTGGTAGTAGTAGTGTTGGGATTAGTAGAGGTAGTAGTGGCAGTAGTAGTAGTAATGGAGGTAGTAGTATTCGTGTAGTGTAGTGTAGTAGTGTTGGTGGTATTTGGCGTATATGGCGTAGTTTTTGCTTCAACGGTATGTAGATCTATCTAAGTGGCGGTAGTAGTAGTGGTGGTGGTAGTAGAGGTAGTAGTGTTAGTAGTAGTCGTAGTAGTAGTAGTAGAGGTTGTAGTGGTAGTAGCAGCAGTAGTAGTAGTTGCGGCGGTAGTAGCAGTAGTGGCGGTAGTGGTAGTAATAGTCGTGGTCCTTGTAGCAGTAGTGGTGGTAGTGGTTGTCGTAGTAGTAGTAATAGCGGTTGTGATAGTGGTAATAATAATAGTAGCTTCACTCCTCCGTAAAATATACCACATGAAGCTAGCATCGCCAGCGGATCAGCTGCCCCTGTGTGCATACGCCCCAAACCTACACATACCACACCGGCAGTGGACCAGTAAATCTGAGTCTCAATAGAAAGTTATGTAGCACAAATTCATGGAGGATAGACGGTCACAGTGACCCTATCTCTGAGTTGTGTGAATGGTTATATTCTTCTCATAAAAAAGTGACAAAGCCATTTCCACAATAATAGGAAATTGCTTTTCACCCACTTCGTCCTTGTCTCTAGTGTTGTCTAACGGTCATTGCGTCAGTGTCATTTGAAGCTGTATGCATAATTTGAAAGCCTTGTCACCGACCACATGACAGGATACATTACAAAGTAACCCACATACATTGCCGGATGTGTATAAGAATGAAAGCGGTTTCATATTATGTTATGTGATCGCAGTAGAGGGCGTGTGAACTATATATATTATATATAGACTATTCCTGGACAATAGCAAAATACATGAAATTTCACATTTTTTCTTCACTGTGAAAATTTAGATATGCTGCAA